TAGTAAAGGAAGGACTGGGATAGGGACCTTTATCATCTTGACCTAGATCAAAGGAGTTTGATCAGGAAATAAAATTCAGTTTTCTAAGAGCACTCCTGAGTGTCAGATCCTTATAAGAAGATCTGTGCATATTTTGGGGACTGGGCTTGATGGCCAAGGAGGTCCTGTGTTCCTCTCTTCTTTATAATTATAGATTCATAGATTCATAGACACTAGGGCTGGAAGGGACTTTGGAAGATCATCGGGTCCGGCCCTCTGCCCCAGGGGCAGGAAGTCAGCAGGGATCATAGGATCCCAGCAAGATAAACATCCAAATATCTCTTGAAGGCGTTCAAAGTAGGTGCTTGAACCACCTCCAGCAGCAGACTATTCCAAACCTTGGGGGCTCAGACAGTAAAGAAGTTCTTCCTTATGTCCAGCTTGAAACGGTCATGGATGAGTTTGTGACCGTTCAACCTTTTCATCCCTTGGGGCGCTCTGGTGTTCCTTTAAATAACTGTGTTCTCAACTTAAATGATATTCAGTCTTTTTTCATAAAATCCCAGCAGCTGGAATCCAAAGATCATGTGATCATGGTAGTTATTGTTTAGAGAGAAATATTTAACATGCATATAACATTTCTTTCAACCTCATTCCCTGAAGGTGAGGTGACAGAAGTATGATTTTAATGAAGTGTGGGAAAACAAGAATGCAGTTATTACCTCTCTGCTAAGTCTTTTACAAATCCCATTGTTGGGATGGTTTTGGTTGTTTCACAGTTTTCATCTGTAGGTTCTTAATTCAGTCTTATGGTAAACTAGCCCATTACTCCTGTGGGATACTAATGGAGGTGTGGAGTTTTAAACAAAGTGGGACTGATTCCCCACAGAATTCAAGTAACATAAAATAGGAGAGTGACTCAGTAGGATATTCAGGCCATTGGGCCAGATTCGCAGCTGAGAAAAAATGATGGAGCTCTACTGACTGTGAAGTATGAAGAGCTGCACAGATTTACACCAGATGAGAATCTGGCCTGTTATTTTTAATATTCACCATGCAAACTACCTACCACCTGTGCAAAATGTTGCATTGAAATAATTAATCAGAAATGGAGACAGTGGAGAGGTTACTCTGCATAATGTTGCCAAAGGCATTGATTTGTTAATGGTAACTACAAAGGATCTTAAAGTTGCGTAGGATTTATAACAGCTTAGTTGCACTTACCTTCACAAGGCAAGAAAAAGTGTCATAATGCAAGTGACTGACTGTGTGTCACTCCTATGTTGTGACAAGTCAGCCTCTAACAAGTGATAATTTATGACATATTTAAAACTAACCCATTATATGTGCTGTTTATACAGAAGCTGTATTTAAAATGTGGGGAGGAAATGTGGGCTGTCAGTCAAAATGCTGATTACTTACAGAGGATTAAAATAAATGGTGGTTGATGCAGGGTGTACTTTTCTCATTCACTGAATGGTATCAGCCCTTCCTTTCAATGCTGTACCCAACAAAATTAATAGGATTCATCCTAGGCATTAAGTCTTCATTAGAGAATATTTGATTCCAACATAAACAGTGGTCAGTCTTCAAAACACAGCTGTTTCCCTTCCCTTCTTAATGTTTTTCCACATTCCACCTTTTAACATTTTGTAAGCCACAATTTTTACTTGGCAGTCTTTTTTTCCCTGAGGGAGAGGAAGCTAGAAGGTGTAGCATGCAGGACTATGTTCATCTGGTCCCAGCCATTCTAATTATGTATTTCAGAGATGCAGGCAGAAAGCATTGAAGCATATAGGAACCTTGGATTACCAGTGATAGTGCTTGAGGTTAGGCACATGCTTAACTACTTCGTTGAATCAAGGTGTTAATCTCCTCCAACTATACTTCCAGTAAGAGGTATCACAAAAAACTCTTGCCTTTTATATAGAAAAAGGAGGAACAAGGTGACTTCAACTGTTTCTCTTGCTTGGTTTGACAAACAGGATAGGATTTAGAATTGTGCATCTTCCTGTTCAGATTCCCCTAGTTTCCTGACCAAAAAATAAATAAATAAAATTTTTTTTTGCTATTTCTGGCAGTGGAGAACCAATACTGCTACTGAAAAACAAGCTGTAGGTCAATTCATTTGCTTTCACAATCAATCAATCTCCCCCAGGTTTCTGATTCCAAATGCTTATTGTTGCGGAAGATGAGGTGTAAAGCAGATAGGATGTGGTTTGATTCTCTCACTCCAAAATCACCTTGTTTTTGCAGGCTGCTAAGGGAAAAATATCTTATAAATGAAGCACCTCCAATGTGGAAGTAATTTAAAAGAGACAGCATTTTTACAGGACCCCTATTTTAATCGTAATAATACACTTGGTAACATGCATCATACTGTAAAAGAGAGGTGTCAAACAAACCACCCGCAGGCTAGATTCAGCCCACATCACTCCATCATCTGGCCCCTGGTGCTGACCCTGATTCTCAAGTTGACCCACTTGCGATGCATGCTAGACCAGCCTTGTGTGCAGGACCCAGGCCCTGATCTGGGTCCCACCCTGCATGCAGTACCCACGCAAGCCAATCCAGGACCACCACGCCTGCATAGCAGATCCAGCACCTGCAGCACCCACTTTAGCCGGTCTGGGACTGCCCTGCTGTGGTTGGTCCAAGATGCAAGCTGCACTCTGGCCAGTCTGGGGATTAGATGAGGTTGACACTCCTGGAATAAACATTATGGTAATTGAATTATGCTCTTTTTTGTGCTGGTATTTGAATACAGGTCCAGATGACTCCTCTTATGTTCATAAGAACAGGAGAGGAAATACTGGAGTTGGATTTCTCCTAGACACCTCAAGATGCACCCACATTGAGTCTCTGGAGACTAACTCTTTGGGTTGAATTATGTGCATACTACAAAACATTTCATCCTTGTCATAATGATCAGAGGGGGAAATGTAAATATGACACCTTGTCAAACTTATACGTCTTACACCTGATTACATGCCTGTCAACATTTCAGGAAGAAAATGAAGATGATAAATAGCAGTCAGAGGGGGATGGTACACCTTTATTTTCCTGCTTTTGGTTCTGTTTCTTCTTTAAATTTTACATATCTACTCCTGTTATTCACTGCAAGAACTAGGGGATTGGGGTGCTGGGAGATAAGGGCATAATGGTATTATTATTATTATTATACATAGTAGTGCTTTCCCGATAGAGTAAGCTTTGCAGTACTTGGCCTCAATATATTCCTTCCATTCTGGGATGGCCAGGCCAGAAGGGAGAGGAATTCAGTGGAATTAGCTGGAGGGAGGCTGGAGATCCTAAGGGTGTCATGAGAGAAGGGGATCTTTTAGATCAGTGATTCTCAAAAAGAGTGTGCCACAAGAGCTTTTCAAAGGTGCCATGGGGTGCCACACAATGTTAGCACTGTTAGGTGTGGAAACATGATTCACAAGATAAACCCAGAGATTTCAGTTAGGAATCCATAGAATCCAGAATACATTCTGGCCTGTTGCATTCTGAGTTCTTTGCATCAGAAGAATTGCTCTGTTATTTTTCTGAAGTAAAAAATTAATGAAAACTGAGAGCTGGCATTTACTGAGGAATACTTTGAGTCTAAAATGGTTGAATGGTTGAAAACCATTGTTTTAGATTTAGCAAATGGAAACATGGTAGGTCAAACTGGTTCTTAGGTATTTGGCTCCACTGAAATGCAAATGGTGGTACTTATATGTGGCTGTAAACATATGTATATAGCACAATTCTTAAGGACAAAGCAAGTGGGGGGGGGTTTGTTAGTTGATTTGTTCTGATATATTAAAGAAGGGCTGAATTTCTTTCTGCCTGTTACATGGAAAATACAATAACCAAGTTCTGTTAGCAATTATCTCTTACAGTTAATTTATTGAAGTTTTGCCTGTTTGTGTGCAGTTCTTTCCTAAAATTATTAAGCTTTTTCACATATGTGTAACGACAGTTCCACCTTCATGCTTATACCTTACATCCTCCTGTGGAAAGATTGTTTGTACATGAAGAGAAAACAGTCTTCCAATGTCACCTGTAACCTAAATGAAAAGGACCCCTTTCCTTTTCATGTTCTTCATGCCATGCTCAGGAAAAAAAACGATACCTAATGAAAATTATCTTAGTGGTAACTTGAGCTTTAATTAACAGCTGGTTTGATATGTCACTGATCAGGAAGGCCTTCAAAAATAGTCTTACTAGGCCTATAAAAAGTTGCTTACAGATTTTGATCTTCTGCCAAGCTTCCCTGGCTGAAGAAAAGGTTAGTGTCTCCTGGAGCAATGGTTCCACTATCAAGAAAAAATCTGGATCGCGTAGGTGATCTTAAATCCAAGTGAAATTGTGTAGTACTGTGTTGTTAAATACCAATGCTTTTTTCTTTGGTGTTCCCTAAAGTTGAAATGTCCCCCTCTGCTATTTGTACTCATGTAAACTATGCATTGTATGCTTATTTGCAAGCCTCCTTTGGGTGTTGTGCACTATTATGTATTTTACATTTCTGTCTAGTTTATTTAGCACTTTACAAATACATTTCATTAAAGATACTTTTAATGTAATAAATATGATGCTTTAGTTATTTTAAAAAATTGGAACCAGTACAACCTCTGGTTTCACAAATGAAGTAATTCCGAATGGGTTTATTGACTTGAATTGGGCCCCTGCATACAGCAGTGGAATCAGTCTAAAAGTTCTGTATCTTGCATTTGTTCTAAAACAGACCATCTCTAATCCCAGACATTTCCACAAATCTCCATGCACTTAAGTGTGCGCCAGTGACATGAGGAGCTCATTTTGATTGTTTTTTGCCATACTCTAGTAACATCATTTGTGAAACTGAAGTTGGCTTTTCAAACATGAGACAGGTATGTAATAATGTTTTCCAATGCTCTTTGTGAAATTGATTTTTTTTCTTTCTTTTCTTTTTTTTCTTTTAAGGAAATTTATTTTTGGGAACAACATGTCGCACAAACTCACTGTTCCCTTCTCTGTTCTTTTGCATCTTTCAGACCAGGATGAAAGAGCAGCAGAACTCAGCAGGGAGCAGAATGAGAAAACCATCCGCAGCACACAAACCGCACTTCGCAACTTCAGAGAATTTCTCATTTCCAAATATCCATCTGAGACACGGGAAATCTATGTCATCCCTTGCAAAGAGCTTGACGCATACCTAGCTTCTTTCTTTGTAGATGCCAGGCAGAAGGATGGGTCAGAATATGAACCAAATAGCTTGGCCAACTACCAGTGTGGGCTAGAGCGGTACCTCAAAGAGCACAGGTATGGATACAGTATTACCAGGGATAAGGAGTTCAAGAGGTCTCAAGAAGCTTTGAAGCAAAAGCAGATAGAGCTGAGGTGTAAAGGTAAAGGGAACAAGCCACACAAATCCATGAAGCTTACCTTTGCTGATGAGCTTATCCTACGCAAACGAGGCTTGTTGAGTCGGTATAACCCTGAGGGGTTGCTGAATCTTGTCTGGCTAAATAACACTAAGGCATTTGGACACTGTACAGGTTTCCATGGGTCCACCCTCAAATGGGGGGATATCAGGCTCCGGGTGACAGAGACCGGACTGGAATACTTGGAGTGGATGGGGCCAGATAATGGAGATGTGAATGCCAAAAGCAAGAGAGGAGGGACAGATTCCCGGGTGTACGCCACACAGCATTCTCCACAAACCTGTCCAGTGCAAGACTACAAGGAATATGCTCAAAGGCGGCCACCTGCCATGCGATACGAAGACGCTCCTTTCTACCTGTCCATCAAGCCAGTTGTCAACCTGGCTGCCCTTCACTGGTATAATTGCCAAGCCTTGGGGAAAAACAAGCTGGCAAAGATGGTGAAGACAATGTGTGAGAAAGGCAACATACCTGGCAGAAAGACTAATTTCAGTGTCTACCAGAGCTGCAGTACCCTGTCTGAAGCACAGAGCAACCAGCTGGTGCTCATCTGTAACAATTTAAGCCAGCAAGCAGCTCAGTCTATGGCAAGCCACTCCAACCCTGGCAACTTCATAGTGTCAGCTTCCTATGACTCTTCCTCTGACACTGCTTGAAAGGTGGATTTAAACCAAACTGCTTTTTTGTTTCAAGCTTTGAATTTATGCCCATTAACACACACCAACTGTGATTGTACACTATTTCCCCATGCCCCTCAGTGTTAATTCACTTTATAAAAATATATAAATATATAATATATTTTTCTTTTTACAAATAAGTCAATAGAAATAGTTTAGTATTACTAACATAGTATTTATAGTGTTAATACAGAAAATGAAAGCTACTTATGTGTTATAATATAATAGCAGATTTTACAAGAGCAAAATGGTTCTCAGGCAACACAAGATAGACTGAACATACAGTTTTTAACATGCATATGGATGACAAGTGTAAAACCCCAGAGAGGTCTATATCTCAGTTCTGTTTTAAAATTATGGTTTTTTGTTTTTAAAGGGAAAAAAAACTTATTTTGAGCTTCTAGACTGGGGGTTACAAACATCGCTGGCTGCTGCTTCTTACCTGCCAGCTTGTTATTGTTCAGTGAGACCAAGAAGTAAGACAGGTTTTCATATAAGTTTGTGAAATCATTCACAGGGATTTTTGTCCTCATGTTGTTTTGGTTCCTAAAGCTCATTAATGCTAGCTGGAAAGATATATAATATTCCTCAAATCAATTTAAGATATTTTAAACTGTTTTTGTTGTTGGGTTTTTTCTCTGTGATTGAAACGTCACTGGTTTTTAGACCATGAAGCATTGTTTTCAACAATATGCAATGAAATAATGGCAAAAAGACTGTTATACCAGTAATCTTAACTGTTGCAAACAAGCATCAGTCTTTAGTTTTGTCATCCTAGAAATTCAGTGTAAGAGCCTACTAAATTAGAACTGCAGTCGCTTTTTCAATTTTCTAGAGAAAGCAACCATACTGAAAAATCAGAAGTCCTTGCCCAAGCCATAAAAATAGAAAGCAAAACAAACGTGTCTTAAACCATCATTCAAAATCCACAGAATCCAAAACTGATAATTTTATTATTTATATTTTCTATGTTAGGTGGAAAAATGACAATTCTAGAATCCTGGAAGACATACTGTGATAAATTCAGCTAGATGCTGATGCTCATTGTTTCCAGTTGAAAAAAGGGAAGTGATGCGTGAATATGGAGGCAAAGGTTGGCCCTTAGAGACTTTAAATCCTGACTGTTACCTTTCAACCTGTTTTACTTTGCAGTGTGACTGCTCATTAAGCACAAGGAAGATACTAACAAATACTGTGTTTCCATAGAACCATTATAATTCTTGACCTTTATAATTACATGTGATCGTTTCTCTGGGAATTGAACTGAATTTGTTCTGCATTGCACATTAAAATGTTTTTGCTAAGGTTCCCTAGCACTGCAAAGATGAGACTTTTGAGAAACACACCTGCAGCATGGGCTGAAGCCCATAGAAGTCCATGATAGTCCAGCTACTGATTGAATGTGTGCTGGAGCAGGCCATAGATGAGCACGCTGGCTGCTGGGATTTATTTACATTCTAGTTTGGGGGTGAAGTTGTTGCTTAAATTCTTTAAATTTACAACTCTGTCAGAAGGTCCCCTCGAGCCAAATAACTGTTCCAGCTAGATGGGCCAAGGCACACCAATCGTCTAGTCAGTGGCATAAAGAAATGATGCAGCTAATATCATATCTAGCTGCTGTTGCTTCCCCAGTCTGAATGACCAGGTACCCATCTACACTGGTTTAGCTGGGCACAGCCTTTTGGCAGTCAGGAGCAGGGTTTGTGAACTCATGACTCTGGAGCCATAGCCAGACATTTTTTACTGCTCTGTCACCACACCACAGCACAAGTGTCTAGTGCATTTAATTAAAATCAGGGGGCAAGAAAGAGTCTTACTACCCCCCAGAAGATGTAGTAACAGCAACTAAAGGTTGTCTCAGGGCTGGTCAGTGTTATGAAACCTGTGTGGTTGAACCTAGGATTATTGTCTCTGTATTGTTTGGTGGCATGATTTCCCCCATCTTCATAGCATTCTCTTGAAGCTTTTCCAGTTTGTGTTGAAAAGTCATTTTCATCCTGATTGGCCCCTTACAGCTCAATGCAAAAGCATGCTTCCAGAAACTCCATGGACCTATTGATTTCTATGGGTGTTGCATTTTGGATTCATCCCTACTCTTTACTCTGCCTGTGAGGAATTAAGATATAATCAAAGTATCTCTTAAGGAGGAACATGTTTTGCAGAATGCTCTGAGGGAGCTAAAACAAGTCACTTGTTCTTTGGTTTTCAGTCCATAAGGCATGCTATGTCCTGATAGCTCCCATTCCCATTCCTGTTTGTCTGCTTGGCATATCTTAATTTATATTTGGGTTCATGTCATACTTGGGGTGAGCTAATGGCTCCAGTACTGTTGATCAAGTCATGCATGGTTGGTTGCTATGTTTAGAAAGAATTATTTATTTTGGAAAGTGGGTAGGGAGGACAAGTTTATTACATTTATTTTATTTCTAAACAGGGTTTTGTTTGTTTAGCCTATTTTAATTTATGTGAACCCTAATGAGTAACTTAAACTTAATGCTGAGTGTTTCTGTCAAATGGAAGGCAGATCACTTGGTGAGCTTATTTGCGGGAGCAATAAGCCCTATTTAGACTACTGGTTGAGGTAACCTTAAACCTGTAGGGTCAGGATTTGATACCCCTGATAGTACAATATTCCAAAAGTAGGCCCACTGACTACAAACAGCACTTAAAAACTATTCCGTTTGAGTAAGAATATTAGACTTTGGCCCATAAATAGAAGGGCTTTATATTCATGTTCTTATTATGACCACTGCACATTTTAATTTAGCCCCTTAAAACCAAGCATTGAGAAGTAAGCTTAAGTGTTGACCTTTTCCTTTTTTTTTTTAACTTTGAAAAATAAGCTTCATTATAACCCTTCACATGATAACATTGTTCATTGGATTAAATTTGAATGTTGTTGACTGTACTGTACCAAGTGACTCTTTCCTGTTAATACCATCTGGACACTGAAGTTAGGATGTAGCTCTGTGAACTGTTACAAGCTTTTTAACCCTTCATGCCTATCTGAGCCAGGGGCTAGGTTCTCCCACCATTACTTTTGTTTAAAAGTACCTTATTCCATGCTCTACCCCTCTGAAAGGCTCACTTACAAAATAGGGTCCTATTTGTGCAGTGGATTAGAGCAGGTCAAATGATGAATGACTTGGGTAACTTGAAAAAATGCATTGGAAGTGTTTACACTACTGTCTAGAGTGATATGATTTAAAATGGTTGCTTCCATGTGAGCATATTCATTTTTGTTCAGGAAAGTGCACTGGTTTTAGTGGGGTTTTTTGCATATAACTTAGCGAACTTTTGCCCTGTAGCTTTTAAAGTTATATTAAAGCTGATTAAGCCTTACAAATGAGAGGTACATTTTAGATACATGGTTTATCACTGGTTTGTTGTGCAAACCAGCCTACAGGGAGATCTCTGCATGTCCATGTTGGTTTGTCCTTTCTAAGAGTCCCAAGTAAGAAGCATGACACCAGTAAGTGCAGTAAATGTTAGGTTAATGCTCCATTTGGTATGGTCACATATTCAAATATGTGCCAGTGAGAACATCTACATTGGGTTATACAAATATACGCACCTGTGTCTATTTATCTGATTGCACATTCAAATCTTTTCTTCACCGGGGGGCACAGGACTAAAGAACTTGAATACTTAAGCCTTGTTGTAGTAATTACTGGTGTATGTGTTTATAGTATTGCATGTTTGCACAGCACATTTGTATGATTAAGAGAGAACCCATGCAGTGGCTGGGTAAACACAGTGAAGTTTTGTAAGTGTCATAGCCTGTGATTTGTGTCTGGAAAGGTTCACACAACTATTTCAAGTTTGTCAGTCTTACTGGGTGACACATTCTGCCTTGCAGCTATATGTTTTTAATCCACACACTTAGCTTAAAATCCTACAAAAAATGCACAAGCATTGTGATGTCAGACACTAGGGTAGTGCAAAACAGCTGTATTTTGTCATCTGCTTCTTGAAGGGTACCCCCACTATGGAATTTTTTCAGGTTGAAATGTATTTCTTAGGTGCTCAAGGGCATTGTACTATTCAATTTCTAATGTAGTTACACTTTTGTTTCTTTATCTGATGCATTTTTACAAGCTCTAGAGTATTGCACATACTTAACTTCTATGCTTGTGATTAGATTTTACTGGTAGTTTTGTCTACCTAACATAAAGCACAAACCAGAGCCCAGGAAGAGTTGGCCTTATTGCATTCCAGATACTGGCTGCTCCAAAAACTAAAATAACCTCTGAGTAAATTAACATTTGCATAGCACCAGATACTCTCCATTTTCTACCCTGGTTCATATATAATTATTGTTGCAAATAGTACCTGAGTAATTTCCACACACGGAATAATTGACATAACTGGCATCTATGGTATGTGGTCCATTCCTTCTCTTATTTGCTCTAAGGATACACTGCAGAGGATTGTGACTGAAGGCCTGTCTCCCCTTCCATCCCTCACTTACCTTCCCCTGTCCCAGCCCTCGCCTTAGCTTGCTGTCAGGAGTTACAAAAGGGGGCAGCACAGGGATGCTTGGAGCAAACACATGGCTTTGTTTGTAACAGGGGAATCCTCCTTCAGGCTACTGTAACACATTTAATGGGACTTCTATACCAGAGCAGGGGCCAATATCTCTCCCAATGAGTGTGCAGTCTCTACTCCAAATAGTAGATCAGGAGTTTGTGGACTACTATGTACTTGCAAAGAGCAGGCCTACGTCTCCGAATACCCCAAAGACTAACTTGGGGGGTGGGGAGGGGGAGGAGGAGGAAGGTGGTGGCAGGACACCAGCCCCCCAGGCATCAACTTAGTGGGGGCACCAGAATGGCAACTCACCTTAGGAAGTCTGTGCCCCAGTAACAACAGGCGCGGTGGGACCATGCTGCAGCCAGGGACTTCTTTGAGTCCCCAGAGCAGGAAAGACTCCCACCCCTGCCTTTCCTCTTTCCCCCAGTGCCGTTCTTCCAGCTTTTGGCATGTGGTCCCCTTCAGTGCTCAGAACACAAACATTTCAGAGTAATGCCTCTGTAAACACCTGATAGTTCAAATGAAAGCGTGTGTATTTAGAGGACCATAGAGGCAGGTAGATATATCTGCTACATATCTGCAATCATTTAATAATGGAAAATGTTTCTGAGAGGGATCTTTCCTACCATACAGTGAGGTGTGCATAGCAAAATTTGCCCCTTTGCAGATGGGATCAGCACAATGTCTGTGCACCATTTGAATACCACTAACGTACTCAAAATAGGACTTAAGTGGCACACAGACCTTGGGCAGACTCTGTGCAAAAGGGCGGCTTTCACTGTGTAAGTCCTGCCAGGCCCTGGGAAATAGTATCTTACCTATTTTTTAATTTTTATTTTAGTAAAGTCTTGTGTTTCCAGAAAGGTTGCATGTACCCAAGGTTATAAAAACTTAATGCTCATTTAATACAGATAAATGGTTTCTGTTTTATTTTAAATTAACTAGTCTTACTTTTGCACTTTGGCTGGGGTTTAAGATGTACAGTACATAATTAAACATGGCAGAAAACAGATCATGCAACACTCCTCCTTTGTTGTCCCATTAAACTGGCATTTCCTACTGATTTTGGATAAATTGGCATCTTGGCTCCTAATGCACTTTATTTTCTTTTTGTACCTCCCCTTATATGCTGGAAACTGCTCTTCCAGTAACAGGGAATAGAATGTAGAGAAGACAAGCTACCCCTCAAGCATAAATTTGTTCTAGAGAAAAAACTCAACTGTAATTCAGAATGGTTTCTTCCCCCTTCTTCTGGAAGGGGGTCCAGAACAATTAAATCCCTATGGCTTTGTTGTGTCGGAGGAGGAAAATGCAAAGAAGACACAAGGTTGCAATACAGCTCCTTCTTCCTATAGTGTCCCACGTTTTATGCCATAGTGGGCCAAAGGTTTTTGGCAGGCATGCCACAAATTAGCCTTGGACCATCCCCAAATGAAACTCCTGATCTGCTGATTTTCTTTCTGCTCTCTGTTCTGTGTTCCCCGCTTGATCTACTCTGCCTTCTGCTTCCTGTTTTATCTGCCCCTGGCCTGCCTGTCTCCTCACTGATCTGCCATGTGCCACACAGAGAGGTGGTCTTTGCCACTTGTGGCATATGTGCTTCAGGTTGGCCAGCCCTGTTTTATGCAGAGCATTTGTGGAATCAGGACCCCAGGGTCTCTGCTAACTGTTCTAGAGCTTGTATGGCTGTGTAACTGCACTGAAACTAACAGCAGTATAGCTGAACCCATGAAAAATTCCTGGTAGTGAAGTACCTGTAAAAGGCAACATGACAACCAATTGTACAACTCAACAAGAGATTTAGCCTCAGAATATCATATGTCTATCACTTTTCTACAGAATGTGCAAGATATGGGTGGTCAGATGACTTCCAGGAGCTCTGAAAGAAACTGTGGCTGTCTCTACACTGTTATTGTGCTTGATCTCTCTGAATTGGGCTAGTACATTGTAGCTCTACCGGTGCTAACAATGATAGGAGCACTGGGACAGACTAGCTGCCAACACTTTTGCCACCGTGCCATCTAGATATGTGTGGAACAGGGGTGCACAAAGCTGTGATAAAGGCCAGCACTGAGAGCGCTTGCCTCAGTGGCCATGCGATGCTAGAAGACTTTGAGGAGATTCAGTTTAAAACACAGTCTGTGAGCAATGCTTTTATGGCTTTCCAAGCTCAATAATAAAAAAGTTTGATATTCTTGGTAATAGCCATTCATGTTGGGAAAATGGTTGCACTAATGGCAATACATGGAGCCTCCTGTGATGAAAATATCACTCTTGTGATGAAACTATATCAATTTGGCTTGTGAAAGTAATACTTTTTTTTTACTTGGTGTTCCTTTAGATTCGTTCTTATGCGAGGCATTTATTTTCTCATCTTCCAATTCTCACTGACTTGATCAATATTAGTAATATATGCAAAATTCTATTCATTTTATTGTAATGATGGCTGCTAAATGAGCTCTCTCTATGCTGACAATGGGCAATTGTCCCAAAGGGATTAGGATGTTTTTGCCTAATCTTTTATACTCATGCTCAAAGTTCACTACAGAGCAGCATGAAGTATCTAAAACAAAAAATTGTTGTTCAGATGTCATTTGGATCTTCAGTAATGAATTACAAATTTTATTCTTACTAGGTTATTTGTCTGCTTGTTTTAAAAAGGCAGTTTTATATTCTCAATGCCTGGTTTGCAAGAGCTATAATTTTGTAGAAAGAATGTCCTTCCATTCCTCAGGCCCGAGTTCCCAGCTACCCTCGTGGGTAGCTCCCTTGATGCCCATGCAGTTATGCCTGCCAGAATACACCCCCAAATATTTATTTCATGTTGTTGGGCATACACTTTTACCAAGAAAATTTAATTGCATTTCAAGCAATAATCCCTGCTTTCGTAGGGCCTAGATTAAAGAGTTTTATGCTCTGCTTATACGTACATAAGAAGGAGAATAAAGCTCCCCTCCACGCCCCAATCTCCCATGTGAGTTCTAATCCTAGAGGTCTGTTTATTCTATGATGTAGATGATCAAAAAAGTACTATTCAATTCACAGGAGACTAGAACAAAGGTCAGCAACCTATGGCCTGTGTCTCTGGCCTGTGGGGCCCTTGGATCTGGCCTGTGGAGCTGTGGCTTCAGTAGCATTTGGCATCAGAGGGCTTCACCTGCAGTGTGCTACACTGCTCTGTGTCCAGTTGTCTGGGCATCCAGGAAGCTTTCCCACATTGCATCACAGCTGGTTGGCATGCAGAAGCTGTAGCAGTGGTGGGCAGGTCCTAGCACTGACTTGCTTCTGGACTGAACTGGGTCATTCTGGCCCACCACTGGGAAACACTGTCGACCACTGGACTAGAGGATTTAAAGGGTACACATATAAGCCAGGCACAGACATTACACTGTTACAAGGATAAGTGATCAGAAACTTATCTATACCCTAACAGAACAGAAATTCAGCACACAGATTGGTTTAAAAATGGCAGAACCCAGTCTACGATTTCCCTGCCCACCCCCGTTTCCCTCCCTTCCCCCACCGAAAGGCAAATGTGTATTCTGTTTGCTACCAATCTAAACTACGCTGCTTACAGAAAACCACGTGACTTAGATCGATTCTGCCTCAGGCTTTTTGAATGTCTGTACCTAGCCATAGAGAGAAAAGGAGCTTTTGGCGTCGCAAATTAAATACATAATAATGGCTAAAGCTAATTTTGTTTCATGGCTGTTGGCAGAGATGACCCAAGCAGGGTGCAGGGCCCAGGGCAAATCAGCCTGTGCGGGGCCCCGCCCCCGCACACCGCAGATGTGAGGAAGCCGGCAGTGGATTCAGCAGTGGGGGGGAGGTGCCTAGCCAGGGACATTGCATAGGGGTGCACATGGGTGCACATGCACCCCCTGAGTGTGGTGGTGCACCCCCTACAAAAAGGCACTGCTAACACTGCCGGTGGTGTCTGTGGGCGATCCATGATCCCCACTGGCCACTGCCACCACTGCCAGTGGCAGCGGCAGGTGGTTGCCAACCCTTGTTCAGCACTTGCCACCCCCACGCTGACAGCACCAGTGGCGTCTGCGGGAGCTCCCTCGCTTACCGCCGCTGTACTCTCGCCACCGCTGCTGCGCAGGTTTTCTGTTCATTAGAGAACTTGGTGGGCTCAATGCATTCCTGGTCGAGGAGCTTGATCAGTGCATATGTGTTGCTTACAGCATTGCTGTTATCTTTGGCAGTTGAAGTCCAAATGGGGTGTGGAACCATGCTAGCTTTTCTCTTCAAGGTGACCGCTCCAGATCAGGGCTGAGAAGTTTTGGAGGGGCAGCTTGAGGATGACAAAATGCCATAGACATAACCTGCATTACATACAGTGCACAGGAGCTTATGTTCTCATTCTCATCTGTATTTTGCTTTGCTTATTTATCTGTAGCAAACCCAAAACCTCAAAGCAAAGCTAACTTGAAGCAGCTTGAATTTCTCATGCATTGTTACCTGAACTGTGCAAAGCTGCATCTATTTTATTAGGTTTCCACAGGAAAGCAAAAATCAACCCAGAATTTGTTTAAAGCAGGTCCCAAGTTTGCTTAGCAAAACCTAAAATAGAACTGACAACCACATGTAGATTCAGGTTATATAGGTCATCTCACTTTCATAGTAGCCACCAAGTCCTGTAGTATACCAAGAAGGCTTGTAAAGGATTTAGGAAGGGGTTGTTAGAGAGGTTTTTCTATTAACCATGTGAACTGGATGAACTGGCCCTGTGTTTGGCTACAGGATGCTGTAATGTGAGTGGCTTCTAAAAACTTAGAGATCAAATCTGACCGTGAAATGAAAATTGAACTTTTTCTCTGAGGCAATCCACGTTCTGCTCTACATTGTTGCTGCAGGCATAGTCCCCTCCTGTAGTAAAAACAAATATTTCTCATCTATTTAGCATCTGGTAGACAGGGAAAGTGGGTCCTACAGTGGTTTCTGCTATGCCTTTGACTAAGTTAGGGTCACAGGTTCAATCCCTGAACAGGACACAAGACCTTGCCTTCCTCAGGCAGTGGGGTGGACTAAATGGTCTCTTGAGGGTCCCTTCCAGCCCTACTTCTGTATGAATCTCTGAAACTTCAGGAAGAAAAATATTTTCCTAGCATATAAAAAATTGAGCATCCAGCAAATTAAGACTGTAGTGAAAGATTCAAAGGAAAATATCCATTTGTCTTTGTGTGATATTCATAATTTAAATTGTGCACGCTCTTATTTACATGGGACTTCTATGCCTGAAATCTTTGCAGGATTGGATTCTTAATGTAACTCCCATAAATGATTTACATGAAGTGTGTGTGTGTGTGTGTGTGTGTCTTACTTTGTGTCTACTTATTATGTATCATCTAGCTATTATCTCTCTATCTGTACACTGGGCATGTCTACACATGCAATTAATGGGAAGTCCAGGGAGTCAGACTGCCAGCTCATGGCTGTTCCTCCTGGCTTAACATGCTGCAGAGGGGCTGGCTGGGAAAGCATCTACACATGCACTACTGTGGAGTTTTTATTCTTCAGCCGAATAGTACTTTTATTTACTATTTACAAGCATTTACAAGTACAATCCTGCTGCAGAATATATTAGTTTACCCCAGCCTAATAGGGGCGCATGTGTAGACACACAATATTTACTACACAGCTAATTAGTCTGCACAGTAAAGTCTTGTGTAGCCGTACCCTCTGAGTATTAGATCTGAGCTATTCAGAGGGGATTCAGAATGTTAGCATAGGAGAAAATAATGCTCCACTAGGGCAGACTTTGGCTCCAGTTCTACCAAGCACTTAAGTGAGTACAATGAGACAGAATAACATGCCTTCTCCCTCAACCCTACAATCCTGTTAGCCATATACCAAACTCAAAATGCATGAATAGATACTGATTACAAGGGGACAACTCATATGTTTAATGTTAAGTATGTGTATAAATAAGTGTTTTGCTGAATCAGTGTCTTTTCCATCTTTGGGGCATTTAAGTGGACTCACCTGTTCAGATTCCTGATAATCCATTAATTTAGCTACTTTAGTGGCACACCATCATCTGACTTAACTCTCACAGAAAACATTGAAGAGAAGGAGAATCTAACCGCATTTTGGATTAATTTGTTCAGGGACTCAAGCAGAATGAAATAGAATGGCACTTAGGTGCCAAAATCCACTTACCCACTTAATAGGTGAAATAAAATCTGAACACTAATTTTTGTTGTGGTGACTCATCCCCTGTGGACATAATTGCCTTGAGTAGGTAATATCTCCTAGGTCATGGCAAGGCAGTAGAGAAAGAGATTGGATTGTTACATAAGAATGTAAGGTGGTAAAGATGGCCTAATAGCAAGGGGAAAGAGAGAGTTTTGCAAGCAGTAATAGAGCTGTTTGTCTTTTTTCTAAAGAATCTTGGTCTTTGACCAGCCTTTTAATGTCCTGTTTTCTTTTACATTGAAAATAAGAAATATTTTCCATTTGTCTTAATTATCTGCCTGCTGGGGTGGTGTGGGTGCAAAGGAGCATGGTTGACAGCCCTAAGGTTACAAGTTTGAGGCCATAGCAGAATTACTCATGGCATGGCCCTGTCAGAGTCTAACAAATCTGTGAATTCTGTTAAATACCTTGTCACAAGAATATGAAAAAGGAAAGGGTCTGTCTTCTTTAACCTTGCCTTTGAAAAGTATTTTGCTATGAAAGCCCTTGGTCTCATGGTGAGCAGTGCTAGGTAAGCACCAGCAAAAATAAATCTTTTAACTTATTTTACTTATGATGTTTAATTCTTTTAATCCATTAATGGCATTGTGTTTCCTTCTGTTTGCCAGATCACTAGGTTTGGCATTGTTTCCCCCAAAACATCACGTTAAGAACATATGTTGCTTTTTTAAAACACAACTTCCACATACTAATGTGAACTTTCCCATGTGATCAGTCCTATTTTCAATGTTAAACCTCCCTCTCAGACTGAATTTGTATTGCTCACGTTTCTAACTATGCCCCCCTTACGAATAAACTTCAACTTTTAAACAGCGTTTTCGAAAGGTAATTTTTGTTGTTTTTCCCCTCTTGTTTTATGAGCAGTGTGCGTTTAAAAAAAATCACTGTCTTGCCAAAAAAACCCTATTTCTATGCATTGTGTGATTCAGTGATATTACTGTTGAAGTTTTGCATGTCTTGTAGGTGCTTTCACATCTGTACATTTGTGATATTTGTAGACATGTTAACCATTGCTGCTATAACCACTTATTGTAGCTAACTGACAACTGTACTGAGAGGCTGTACCAGTTAACAGTTTTATGTATGACATTGTATATTTTGCTGTTTATTTCATGTTTTGAGCCAGTATTTAGTGCCTTCTGTAGAAGGAAACGTGTTGTGGTAGACAGGAGGTGCCAAATTTACAATATCCTGTTCCACACAGATGATCATGCATCAAGTTAATGTGCATTTTTAAAAAGTAATAAAAAAGCATCTCCATCTTTTATTTTTTCCCTAAAAATCATCTGGAAGGTTTTGAAGGACTTTTCTTGGTTATTCATTTTATTTTGAAAAAAATTTGATGAAACTAATGAAGTGTGTGTGCGTGTGCGTGTGTGCGTGCGTGCGTGTAAATTGGAGGTTGTACACATCCAGCAAACATGGTGCAAAGGAGTAATAGGATTTATTTGTTGCTGAACAGCATTGCTTTCCTACTTGGACAGAAACTGTAGCAGAATAAACAGAGATTTTTATATTCAATATGTTGATTTTAATATCAAATATAATAACAAAACCTTTTAAGGTAGTTAAGGAACTTTCTTTAAAATACCATAGCTCTTCAGTGAAAGCAATACTGTAATTATACTTTTTGATGTTGGTTTCATAATGGGCCCAATTCTGAGCTTATTTCTACTCAGTGGTCGTGTCTACATGTGCTGTGCATTAACATGCTTTAGGTAATACTCATTAAATCTAGTACCTCCCACTTGTGAGGTACTAAGAAAATGAGCATTAGCCTGTCTTTATGCACATTAACTAAAAAGCACAGTTTTAAAGTGACACTTAACACACATTAACCTACTTTAATGCACATTAGCCAAAAAGCACAGATTTTTAGTGATGCTTTAACGTGCATTAAAATAGGCTAATGTGCATTAAAATGCCCATTGTACATGAGGGACAGCTCTATCAAAAGCAATGGGCTCCATTCAGTTTTTCAGTTCTACTGAAGTTAATGGAGTTACACTGCCACAGAAGTAGTATATGGTCAAATGCATTTGTAATATTTTGGGTCTCCTCTCTTTAGCTACTTTAATGCTACACCATGATTCTGTCCATTTTCAAAAAACTGCTTTTCCGCTTGCTCTAGAGAAGCTGAAAATGTGGACAGCAATAAATCAAAATGGATTAATTTGATTTTTATGTAACTTTTAAAATCCTTTTTAGTTGCAAAACTGAAATCAGTTTTGCATGCTTACTGGAAAGTTTTAGCTGGAGAGGGAT